TGTATGCCTGTTGTCTTTCAGTTGTTTTAGGGTCTCCTTTATTCATTTTGTATTTCCGTTGTTTTAGAGTCTCCTTTATTCTTTTTGTTTTTCCGTAGTTTTAGGGTCTCCTTTATTCATTTTGTATTTCCGTTGTTTTAGGGTCTTCTCTATTCCTGTTGCTTTTCCTTTGTTTAAGGGCCTCCTGTATGCCTGTTGTCTTTTCGTTGTTTTAGGGTCGCCTCTATTCCTGTTGTCTTTCCGTTGTTTTAGGGTCTCCTGTATGCCTGTTGTCTTTTCGTTGTTTTAGGGTCTCCTCTATTCCTGTTGTCTTTCCGTTGTTTTAGGGTCTCCTGTATGCCTGTTGTCTTTTCGTTGTTTTAGGGTCTCCTCTATTCCTGTTGTCTTTCAGTTGTTTTAGGGTCTCCTGTATGCCCGTTGTCTTTCCGTTGTTTTAGGGTTTTCTCTTTTCCTGTTGTCTTTCCGTTGTTTTATGGTTTCCTCTATTCCTGATGTCTTTCATTTTGTTATGACGTCAATTCTATTTCTGTTGATGACCTATTTAACACCATTAACCTAAATGCATTGCCCTGTAGTATACTTAGAACGGAACGCAATGTGTTTAACGGTACAGGTGTTATCAAACATCTAAACACATAAACAGAGAACGCTTTACAATAGACATATATGAATCACCAATTCAACGAGACGTAACTTTCAGATTTTAGCTCTAACACTAGTGTTAATATGACCTTACAGTAAATAGCTGTTACAGAAATAAAATCTCAATAACACTGACCCAGATGGTGACCCCCACTGTGAAGCCATAAGTTACGGGACACGCCGTTGAAATAATACTTATGGATGGTTAGTATTTGATATGTTTTATATAAAATGTACGAAACAAAATCCACATGTGCACATATAGCGTAACGCTACTTGCATCGTATTGCGATGAATATCCTGAGGCATACATGGACGGTAAACGTGTCAATATTGACTAGCGCTTGACATGATCGCCCTGAAGCTATTGTCTACCATGGGAGATAACTCAAAGAGAAATCAATTAGTGAAAAACGGAAATAACTCTTTTTAGAAATGATACCCCAATAATCAAAGAGTCTGTAAATGAACCTTTCTTCATGATGATTAAACGTTTTAATTGCAATTATCTATTCTTTTGTAATAGGAAATTGACGTTTGTAACACAGCTGCAGGCATGGGACAGATTTTTTTTATTATACATCATGGCCAACAGACCTGCACTTTTGGTTTAAGTAAATGATTATGAACCGGTCCCATTCGTGCAATAAATATTGCTTCGTTCTTATAAATGGAAATTTGTATAAATGAAAGTACTTCAATAGTCTGACTTTATTCCTATTCCTGTTCCTCGGCTGCACGTGCCATTTTCACAACGTGAACACTGAATGACTGTTGAACTCGTACTTCAAATAATATGTAGATACAAATGTTACATCGTTATGCATTCTACGTCAGCATCTTGTGAACGTGCATGACAGAACAAAAAAAAAATTACATATGTAAGTGGTCCTGGTTCCTTCCTCCTCAGATACATCATCCCGGACAGTCATTTTGATATTCTTACATTTTTCATTTTAATCAAGTTTGCTTCTTTTTCAAGAATATAATAAAATCATACCAATTTTCTGGACACGAAAATAATACACATAATGTTTGATGTACGCCATGGCCGTACTGTTTCACCACGGAATTATGTTAGACCATATATGTCCTTGGTATAACGTCACAACAATTATCCCGGAGCGCCCCATCGACAAATCAAAACTTACCAGTAGCCTAAATATCAACCTTATCTCAACAATATGGAAAAGGGCCTACACCGTTAATTAAATCCGGTACATGTCTATTTACATAACAATCTGACGTCATTCCTGATCAATAGGCAAACATATTAGCCACGTAAAAGCTTTAAAAATATTTATTCTCAACATAAACACCACTGCTCTCGATTCCATGTCAGCTTTATACGCCCTTCCAACCTGCGACAATGCGTCCCTACTGTAACCCCTGCGGTATAGTTTGACCATTCGGCATCGCTTCGCTTTGTAGCTGACACTACCACAGCAAGCCATGCTTTGTGTACAAGAAATTATGTGGTATGTACGGTGGGTTATTTGTGCCATTTCGTTATTTTAGCGAAACAACGGGGGATTATATTTCGCCGCGAAATAACGAAACAACGACATTTAAACTTTCTTAAATGTCGTGATCCCGTCGCGAAATAACGACATTTTAACTTTCTTAAATGTCGTGATCCCGCCACGAAATACAGAAATAACGACATTTTAACTTCCTTAAATGTCTTGATCTCGCTGCGAAATAACGAAACGACGACATTTTAACTTTACTGAATGACCTGATCTCGCCGCGAAATAATGACAGTTGTAGGTCGATAACTATCGCGTAATTACTTCGTCTTTTCACTCGACTTTTGAGATGACGACAAGAAAGGTCGAAATGGGGAAGGAATCCCATTTTCTATCAGTAAATATACATTTCTATGATGGACAGGCGTCGCCATCCCCATTTGCGCAAGCAATCGGGTCAACAAAAGTAATTAATATAAGTTAAAATAAATACCTTGTTTCATGATGGTTGTCAAATAAATACAGTTTATAGAGGCTATAAATACAGTTTATAGAGACTACGGTAATAAATACAGTTTATAGAGGCTACGGTAATAAATACAGTTTATAGAGGCTACGGTAATAAATATAGAGGCTACGGCAATAAATACAGTTTACAGAGGCTACGGTAATAAATACAGTTTATAGAGGCTATGGTAATAAATACAGTTTATAGAGGCTACGGTAATAAATACGGTTTATAGAGGCTACGGTAATAAATACAGTTTATAGAGGCTACGGAAATAAATACAGTTTATAGAGGCTACGGAAATAAATACAGTTTATAGAGGTTACGGAAATAAATACAGTTTATAGAGGCTACTGTAATAAATACAGTTTATAGAGGCTATGGTAATAAATACAGTTTATAGAGGCTACGGTAATAAATACGTAACCACAATTTTAACAATACATTCATTTACACTTGCTGTGTTATGCAGCGCCATCAAATTGTCCCAATAAAAGTATACAACTCGAACCAGCCAGAATCGTGACTGGGGCAACCAAACTCACACTTCACGACAGACTATATGCAGAATCTGGTTGGGACCCCCTTATTGTCCGAAGGAGAAAACACAAACTAATACAATTTCACAAGATTGTTTATGGTCAGTGCCCTTCTTATCTTGCTAACGTTCTACCTGCTCGCCATTCAAATATACATACTTACAATACAAGAAGAGCTAGCAGGTTCTGTCAAGTCAACTGTCGAACTAATCTATATAAAGACTCTTTCCTCCCCTCTTTTGTTGATTTATGGAATGCACTACCAGATAACGTAAAATACAATCCCTCAATTACTAACCTCAAAAAAGTCTAAATGCCGACACTCTCTGTTCCTCAGCACTATTACTACTGCAGAAGCAGACAAGGTCAGATCCATCATGCACGACTTAGGATGAACTGCAGCTCCTTAACTACTCACCTGTTTGCACGAAACTTAGTTGATAGTCCCATGTGCTCATGTAATTTTTCTACTGAAACTACAGAACATTTCCTCCACCAATGTCCTAACTACCAGCAGCTGAGAATCCAATGTTTTAGTCGCCTACCTCCTAACTATAATGTAAGCTTTTTACTTTATGGTAGACCCGAACTACCAATTCACTTAAATTAAACTATTTTTGACTGTTTTCAAAACTTCATCATTCAGTCTAGACGTTTTTAAAGAAAATTTAACTTCATTCATATCAGTAATCATGTTTGTTGTGGTGATACTTGCAATTACTTGAATATCGCATTGGTCTGCGTAGAGTGTTACAGATCATTAGTGCCAGTTAGGAATTGCATTTGTAGTTTTAATTTGTTTTCATAACATACTACATAAACATTCCACAACATGAACAGACACAGTGCTCTTTCGTCAAATATCGTTTGTATTCATGCAATCAGCGTTTGTTCTCTCAAGGCAGTTTTGATGCCCATCGCTTCCCCATCAAACATCATCCCCATCCCACTATAAATCCTTGCACGCTTTCTCTTTCTTTTCCCTGCACATGTTATACTTTATATATATATGTATTTATTATATGAATTATAACATTGGCAGTACTGATCCATAGCTGCTGTTATGTCTATAAGGAGACGGATTTACATAAGTGCTATGTACTTGTTTCTAGATCCTTTTCTGTATTTATAACCATGTACTATTGTAATTTAACATCAATAAAATAAAGTTTAAACTGAAAATATTCAACATTCAGAAAAGGTAATAATATATATTAAAAGAGGTTTTAGTATGGTATATGTTCTACATGTTTATTTATAAAAACAATGTGGCTTCCCTGTGTAAAAGAAATGTTTTCAATACTTTCAATAATAGACCAATTATTTGGATTTTGTAATTTGAGTCTTTATAATTATGAAGTGATATGAAATATGTCGAAAAATTGGTTTTAGACTTGAAACTCAGACACTGTCGTATTTGTCACAGCCCATGGTCCACCCCAGGTCAGGTATATTACATACCTGATGTTGTGAATTATAACCATATTTCGCAATATTTAATTTTGATATGTCTTTTATTTGCACACTTCCATATTTAAGGTATTTTAGGTTGTGTTTCTCACTTTTTCTGAAATATATTTCGTACATTTATTTTTCCCTTTTTATTTTATGTATCATTACCTTACTGACCGACTGGTCCTAAGAATACCTTACTACTGGTCAGTGATGCAACCGACACCTGGGATCGTTACGTACGCGAACTCTTCCGGCACTGGTACTACCACTAGAACACGAGCTAGGCTTTCCCGCCACTTCCTGGTGCGTTACACAGAGTGTTGTAATACAGACTCCTATATAATATCCGGCAGTCCAGGGAGAAAGTGTCCATCTTCCAGACTAACACGTAAGTGTACAGCTCGGTGCTAACACGGCAGGTGCCCGTACTGATAGTGTTATAGGACTCCATGTTAGTTGTACGCTGAACTAGACACCTATCGGTACTTATATTATCATTCACAAGAAGGTCACGAGAGTGTAGTGTTCTATTCCTTCAGCCTTTATACATGTATAACAATTGTTGAAAAAAGGCGTCGAACGTTGGTACTGCACGTATTTACAATCTGTTATACTTTCAACGGTGTATCCTTACTCCGTCTGTTCAACCTATCAAACAGCTTTGTTAGACTATTTTTTTTTTTTTTATTAAACTGTATTTTATTTTAACGAAAACATAATATGTACATTGCACGGACCCTTAACGATACCTCTATAAAAGGGTTTTGTTTTACAGCTCATCATGATGAAATATTCCGTCGTTGCCCTCGTCGTCGTCCTAGCGGCTGTGTCTGCCGATTTTGACGACGGTTTTTTCACCGGAGATCATGACGGATTCGTCGGAGGTGCTAGCTACGTAAGTGGCGGTCACTTTGGCGGTCACGGGGCATACCCTATTGTCAAGGGAGCAGGTATGTACACAGATCATCGTCGGCATCATTTATTTCTTGTTGTTGTGACTAAGATAATTAAATTGCAGTTATTAATATTATTTCATATTTGTTGTCTAGTCAGTTTGAACGGTTCAAAGTTCGATGAGTAGAGCATAATTATACAAATCCCTGGTATGTTTCGGGCAGATCCGGCTATAAGTTTGTCTATAAAATGTGTTAATGCAACGATTATTTACAACAACTAAACTGGTATGAGATATTTATGCATTTTGAAGAAATTCCACTTTACCATCTCATTGTTTAGTATATATGAAGCATTTTATAATAAGTACTCAATTTGGATCCAAATATTTTCCCATTTGCTTAGCAACTGTATACTGGGAATTTTTTGCCCAGTCAAACCTTCGCCCTATGAAAATGATATTGATTTTCGCCCAGTGTTAATGTCGCCCTTCACAATTACTTATATTGGCTGTAATGATAAATTCGCCCCCATTACGGAGGGCGAAAAGGCGAAAATTAAACAGCAGCGAAATTTTCCCGGTATACAGTATCTGTTATTTAACCCGCATTGTTTATAAAATATTTTGGCTTAAACGTAATATGCTCATACACTTCACTGAAATATCTTGTTTAATTATGCATATAAATAGCTGGCCAGTCTAAATCATTAGGGTCGATTTTATCTAGTAAATGGAATGATTGTGTAAAAAGAAAAACAATATGCCATATATCAATAACAACGGTTAAGAAGACAGGACAATACGTTTCCTATAAAGATAGTGAGGTTCTAAAACGTTATTTGTATTGTAGGTCGCTGCTGGAAGCACAAAGGAGGACACGGAAAAGGCGGTATGATGATACAGGAATACCCCACGGTTTATAGCACTGGTGGTCAGTACGGAGGTTCCCAGTTGTATGGAGGTGGTCAATACGCAGGTTCTCAAGTATATGGAGGTGGTCAATACGCAGGTTCTCAAATATACGGAGGTGGTCAGTACGGAGGTTCCCAGATGTATGGCGCAGGTTCCCAGATGTATGGCGCAGGTTCTCAGATGTATGGCGCAGGTTCCCAGATGTATGGCGCTGGTCAGTACGCCGGTTCTCAGATGTATGGCGCTGGACTTGGACAATACAACGGTGGACAACAGCTGTATGGAGGTGGTCAGCAATTTTCCGCGGGCCAAACTGTCTACTAAATACGTTTAAGGTACTGCTATACACTACACTATAATGTAACTAGTCGTGGGCTGAAGCCCTTAACAACAACACCGGAACCTCCATTGGTAACAGAATAACATTTTTCACTGACTGTTACTTTATTTCGATAATTATAAACCAATTCATATTTAGCTATACCAGGGAATGTTCGGTATAGACGTAACTATCATTGTTAACAGATAGTAAGTCCTGCTAGTGAACACGGGATGTATGGAGAGTGGGAAAGGTGCGTTGTTGATAGTGTATTTATCTACTGTTATGGCTTTTTATAAGTGTATATAACAGTTGTATCGTTCCTGTTTTAACTATAACCATTTTTTTAAACTATGTTTTGGCGTAAAATTAATGGTGGATATCAAGTTCGCATGCAAATTCCAGAAATAAGTATCCGGATTTTTCAGTCTTGACTCGAAAGCTAAGTCATTTCGCTACTAGTGTGATTTCGGTTCCGTAGGTTGTAATTTTGGAATCTTTTCAGAGTTGCCCTCATGGCAGTTAATATATTTCACCTCCTGTATCTTAACAGAACCATATTTAAGCCTAAACGTTTTAGTTTTGTGCAAGTTCGGACATTTTCATTTTTACAGCTTCAGATTTTAGCATGTCCATAGCACGCGTGACGTAATCCAAAGTAGTTAGTAATACCATATAGTTAACTTAGCTTAGAAAGTGTATAGATATGTTACTTAAAATCAGACTCACTAACAATCTTTAATTCATCTTACAGGTTTTTATTGTCGTTTTTGGTGACAGGTTGCCTGCCAACGGGAGGGTTTATAAAAATATAACCAAATTCCAGCACTTAGGTTTTTGAGTCAAATTTCACTGGTAATGAAATAATCTTTAAATGCATATCTAAATAAAGGGGATTAATTTTATTTCTTTTTAAACCGAAATCTTACAATCCGTATATTGACGTTCTAAATAGCGAGTTTTAAAGTAAATAGTAACAATGGTTTTCTGGTCAGCACCGTGTTTCTGTTAGAAAAGAAAATTAGCAGAAAAGCAATCAAAAGTCCTATTCTTATAACCAATTATAACCAAAAACATTTGCTAGATTAAGTGGGGTTGCTAAAAATAATTTTAATCAAGTACTAGATGTACTTAGGACAATGTTCCAAAGATACTGAAGCTCAGCAAGGCTTCAGGCAGATCAGTCACCAAAATTTTAAGATTCCCCCAACCGAAAAATGTTCTTTAACATTTTTCCATTAACAGGGTTTTATCCAAATAACACCAAAAAAATATCCATGCTATGCCATTATGCTATTGTTCAAAATAAAGATGACAGACATTCACTTTCTAACTTAAGGTCAATGAATATATGTCAGAACGGTTGTTGGAAGAGAGATGTGCAAGCTATATGATTTGAGTCTGCGATAAAATAGAAAAGGCCTAAAGAGAATCTGTCTGTATTATTACAGGGCTGTGATAACATGTCTTTATTGTTTAGAGTGCTAACTTTTTACAAATGGCAGGCATATTCTGGTGCAGGGTATTATCACTTTGAATGTTGTTTTTTTAATTGTTTGATTTGCTTGAAAATCCAAAGCTAACCATAGACTTTCATGTCAGCCTTTTTAGATATGTGCAAAAATTCATCGAATGCAGCAATATTTCTTCGAGTTCAGATTGTATGTATTTGATTATATGTCTGTTTCCAATATCGTGTTGTAAATGTATGTTGGGAGAAGGCGCTGATACGTTGTTATAACTTAAGCCTTACCCGTGCCCAGAGTTTGGCAATAAAATTGTTTCAACTAACTACAAGCGTCTTTGGTTTTTCTGACTCAAATCTCAACACGATCTGCAAAACTCTCTCTAGGTTTGAAAACCAAAGGAATGTAAGCAGCAAAATATTTGTTCAAGATTGAATGGTAAAACTAGTACATGCCATTTGCAAACAATGTAAGTTTAATCTATGTTTCATTGACATTTAATGTCAATTATGTCACCACATCTTCAGTTTGGTGCTTCGTATATCAATGTAACTGTATATAGCTGCAATGAAAACTGTGGTCACACTAGGCAATTATATAAACTGCTTGTTATTATATTCTAATAACAAATGGAAATAGAAAAACATGTTTCGTCAATTGAGAAAAAAACCACCAAGTTATGTGTTTTGCCGCGACAACGCAAACATGATTGATTTCAATACATTTTGTTGTCAAAAGACAAATGGAGTGGGCATCAGGCAGAGCCTATTTAAGCCCTCTCCAAACACAGTAACAAACAGTGGTACAAGCATAAACACAGACATTAGAACACATACAAACACATATAAACAAGTTGATATTATCAAATAAATAATAAAAGTAAGCGATACAACTGCTAAATCCTATTTTCATTATAATTTAATCTAATAATTTAAATAATCATATGATGCTCCTTTTAATATAGTCGAAAGCTGGCGTGTCAGATAAAGGAAGCCCGAGCTGATATCGGGTGTAAGATGATAAGTAGATGATTGGAAATTAAAAATTAAATGGAGCTTCGATAATTCAGTCAGTCACATATTCATTCTCTGTAGATAATCCAGTTTCCTTCGATCTCATTAGACAATCCAGTCTCCTTCGATCTCATTAGATAATCCTGTCTCCTTCGATCTCATTAGAAAATCCAGTCTCCTTCGATCTCATTAGATAATCAAGTCTCCTTCGATCTAATTAGACAATCCAGTCTCCTTCGATCTCATTAGATAATCAAGTCTCCTTCGATCTCTGTAGATAATCTAGTCTCCTTCGATCTCATTAGACAATCCAGTCTCCTTCGATCTCATTGGATAATCCAGTCTCCTTCGATCTCTGTAGATAATCCAGTCTCCTTCGATCTCATTAGATAATCCAGTCATCTTCTTTCACACTGGATATTCCAACCATCTTAAGTTTTAGAAGATGATTTGCAAGTCTTTGGTCATCAGTCAACCTTTGTTCTCACCAGCCATCGTCGTTCCCAGTCGATATTCAAGGGGCTGCGGTGACCAAGTAGGCGTCTGACATGCTGTTACCACTAGGCCTCCACTACTGCGTCGCGGGTTCGAGACCTACGTTGGGCAGTCGCCAGGTACTGGCCGTAAGTCGATGGGTTTTTTTCCGGGAACTCCGGCTTTCCTCCACCACCAACACCTGACACGTTCTTAAATGACCATATCATTAATTAAGGTTTGAAATGCATCTTTTTAACATTTATGAGGGTATGCAACACAGTTCCGTTTAAACATATTCTTCAAGATGCGCTAACGCGCATCATGGAATATGTTTAAACGGAACTGTGTGGCAGACCCTCATAAATGTTAAAAAGATGCATTTCAAACCTTATATTGACATTCTATTACATCCACTTTTATTATTTGAAATTAAGAAAAAAATAGTTCCATTTTACGTTAAAAAGCAAAACACCGTCATGAAAACAACATTAATTGAACAGCCTTTTTCACGGGAAAAATGATGCGTTGTCAACGGTGACGAAATACACAGTTGAGTAATTAATAAACAAATAGTTCCACTTTGCATATTTTTTTTTATAATTTAACTTTTATTACCAGCATGTTTAACAAGCATTGATTATCTTAAAAATTGAGAATAGATCTAAATTTAAAACAACAATACCTAGTAAAATATTTTAGTTGCAAAAAGTCAGAAATTTATTCCGTGTTCGCGGACTAGCTGACCGTCAAAAAACGATTGTGCAGCGGCTACGCTCATCAGGTCACGAAGCGGTTCGACTTTCAACGAAATAGAAAATGCATCCGTGAAATGTGGAGTTTCCTAAGAAACCAGTTGACGATTTTAAAGATGCTGTTGGCTGAATTCTTGATTCGATCGACTGTGTAAACAGGACTAGCTCATCGTTTGTTTGAGCATTCGGCATGTGTTACTATCGATGAGGGGACTGGCCGACGAGCCGGGACGATTTCACCTGCTTTGCCACTTGCAACGAACGCTGGTGTATATTCTAGAGGACAGTGAATTATTCTGTTCTGTTGAAAAGGACCTGTTATAGGATCTTATAACAGACACGCTTCGATGGCCCGACAACTACAGTCATTCCATATTCTAGGGACACGTCCGCGATGTCGCTGTCAGACATTAGCTGGAGCACAGGGGTTCGTTACTAATGTCTGTGGCTAGAGTTAGCACACGACGTATTTTAGACGCTGAATACGCGGACTTAAATTTTAGGGTGACTTCTTGTTGATAATATAAAAAAAGGATTATTAAAATATATTTACATGTATTTTAACCGTTGATAAACAATGTCGCTTTGTTTTGGTTTGTTTGTGTGCGTGTGTGTTTTAGGGGGTCAGAGGTCATGTAACGGTACATGTAGTACTGTTAATATTACTACACACTTGCTTTTATTGAATCTATATCTAGAGGCACTGCAACACAAATGTAAAAATTAGGACGTAAAACACAAACAAACTCAGTCGATAGCATGAATAATTAAAATGCATTAGATTAACATCAATACCCCATGAACTTGTTGAAATACGTCAATAACATATGCGGCTGAAAATGTAATATCTTGTAAAATTATTGATGATTGACATGATAAATATCATATTAAAACCTACTATTGTAGCATACAAATGACTGCAAATGTCAATGGTCAATATTTTTTTCCTTAACTTTAATGGTCAATGATTGAAGTGAAGTTTTTTAAGAAAAAGATAATGGTTTTAAATGAGTATACAGTAAAATCTGTAAATAAATAATTTGATCAGAAATTAAATATTTAAATTAATAATCCTTTAATGAAAATTAAACAACTAATGAAATTAAGGAGTAAAGACGACTGCAACTTAATGCTCATAGAACTAATTTTAAAAGCAATTAAAATAAGGTTTCTTTTATCAAACGTTCATTACCTGAAATGAGTTAATGCGGAAAAAAAGGAATGTCCATGCTACATAGGATAAACTTAATACACACACACCCACACCCACACACATACTCATACACACTCANCCCCCACACACACACACACAGGTGACTGTCATGTAACTGTTTAAGCACTCTGTGATTGTAAAAAATAATCATAGATATATATATATAAATAGCCAAGAAGTGGGAAAATGAAAAAAATAAAAATTGAATGAATTTATATATTTGAGGATATGCGGTAACATTGACCTATATAATACTGTTTACATTACATGTATATATATATTTATACATATGATAAAATCATACCCGGTTTTAGAGGCTGCGTAGGCGAAGTTTTAACCTGTGTGTAGTTATCGTTGCATATCTATTTGGCGGAAGTGGTTTCATCAGGGTTGTAAAATGTATATGAAACGGCTAATTTAACACTACGCCAATATGAAACTAAATAGAAAACTGGATAATGATAACATCTCCTGTAGTATACCATGGTGGCTAAATATAGATATATTCAAAAGAGATCGTGTTGTGTACTTAAGTGGGAAATCAACAGACGAGGACACATATCATGGTTATATTGCGATAATTTTCCTATATATTTACACTATGGTTGTGATGATTTGTTGATTTTAACCACACGACGTCTCTCGTCGAGTTCAGTTTTTGGCGATACGTCGGATGTTTACTAAGGTGAAGAAAACGAGACTTCATTAATGATGAGTAATCACAATGTTGTCTATATATGCATGTGATTTTATCGATAATGTTATAATTGATATAATATCATGTGAATTTGGCATCAGTTAATGTTTTCGATTTCACAAAAAACGTTCTTGTAATAGGATGTACAATATTATGATAATTGACAGAAAATGGTTCAAATTGTAACGCCGCTAACTCGAAATATAAACATGTAAGTCAAGTCTTTAAAGTTCATTGGTCTTGGCTTTACACCAATACAACAATACAACAATACAATTGTAGATTGTATGACAATATTTTATGATTCATTGGACATAAATTAAAGAGCATAAACAGCATAAATAAACTGACATCAACAATTCTTCCAACAAGGGAAAACCCGCGGTCTTAACGTCGAATCTGCAAAGGTAAAACATACTGTCTCAGTTGTCTCTGCTATAAACCTAGGAATAAATCAGTGACAACTCGTTCAACCATTTTAGAATACTGATCATGAACTATAGATTTTATATCACGATACCAAAACAACAACATGTGTTCGATGGACTGACGCTTACAGCCTCCTTGGGATAACACAGAACGCTTACAGCCTCCTTGGGATAACACAGATAGATTGCGTGAAGTTGGCTCAACATACGACATTCGACTTTCAGATTTTGAAAGTTGAATGGCTCGATATACGACATTCACATTAAGTATTGAATGTTGAGCTGCTTAAAATGTGTCACTCACATCTGAATGTCGAGTTACTCAACATCAAAATCTGAATGTCGAATGTCATATGTTGAGCCAACTTCACGCACATACGCAGATAATCAGATAACTTGGCAAACTTTTAACAATGCAAGGGAGTTATTTAAGGATTGAATCTTGCATGGGTGATGAATTGAGTTAGTCTTGAAACAAAAAGCTGAATTTGTTTCAAGACCAACCCAATTCATCACCCCATGAAATCGACTGAAGCATGATTCAAGCCTTATATTTCAATCAACATGTATTGTTTCAATAATTGGAAAGTGTGAATACTATTCTGATAGTTTGTCCAAGGTTCTGCATGACTCTTGTGCAAGTCTACGTATTGGCATAATGTACAAAAAATATAGTCTGTCATTGAAGGACCATCATACAACATGATTGTGTATGTTGATAGTTCAATACAGCCAAATTAGGTAGAAACAAAACAATATTTTCAATGTCATATTTATTTATTTTGATGAATTCATATCAATTTTTCTGACGTGTCATCGCGGAAGATTCATGTCTAGACGCGGTGGGCAGGTTCAGCTGCTAGTCTACGGCAGCCATTTTTTTACAAGCTCGAAGTGGACAGCTGTTAAATTTCAAGGTTCTACATCTTCTGGAATTTGAAGCTGCAGTAGTTGAATGTCGAATTAGACAGGAAACCAGACGTGGCTTGAAAGGACGAAAGAATTTGATATGGCAGTTGGCTGTTTCATATAAGACCGGTCCACATGGATCTACGTTGTTTTCGATTTGTACCGGGGGTTGATACTGACACAAGAGGTAGAACGGGTAGCTGGAGGGAGAATTTCTAGGGCAGTACATGGCTTGTCACTACTGCTAGCAACCGTGAGCTGATAATATTTTGCTAATTTATGGTTTTGGTTGTTTGAGCAATTTCTTATGTTGCTTCAACAAAAATGTAAAATCTCATCAAGTGGTATCTTCTTGTCAATAGCTATCTCCCTTCGCAAAATCATACGCACAGGCAATGTTTATCAGTTCAAATTCATCGGCAAATAAAACAGGTTACATTTGGTAGTTTCATAGAGTCAAACTTGAGTAGGAATTGAAATATTTAAACGTAAATCCCCGAGTTGAGACAATCATGGATTCAAATTTCTCGTGAACATTTAACCAGGTTCAAAGAACCTATGTTTCACCGTACATATACTTCAAAGTGCATATGGCTATCAAGACACTTGGTTTACAATGCATTGGTTCAAAGTACATGTGGTTCAAAGTATATATAGTTCAAAGGATAAATAGCTGAAAGCACATTTGTGTCACAGTTCATATGGTTCACTGAATACATGGTTCAGTGATCATGAGCCTCAGAAACGTGTTTCACGGCGCGACGCACATTTCTCTGTTTTATTTTCATTGTTCCAACTGTGCTCCTGTGTTGCCTACTGTTCCAAGACACGTTGAGATTGATTTGTACCAACAACAAACATGCTTGCTGACCTAGCGATAACGCAATTTGGATTACACTATTGCAGACAAAGGAAATATTTCAGTCTGAAATAACACCTACGTCTTTAATTGAATAAAGTTCACTTTTCTTTATGTTTTGATCTGTAAACAGATATTTTCCTTTGAATACTGCTATCCAAACCCTGAAACGAAAAGCACGATATGAATTTAGTCTCGACCTGTATGCAATAAAACTCATTATTTTCCTGACAGATATGGCGTTTCATTAAGGATAAAGTCTGTGGTAAATGTGCTTCCCCCATGTCTGGATCTCTATGATTTCTTTAATACCGAGTTTTAACCGAGAAAAAGAAAGTTTTACTGATACGACTACTGTGTTATCTAAATGTTGGCAGCGTTGGAATTCTAGGTCTACCTTATATGAACTAGAGGTCTATGTGTCTATCATTACTACCTTGTCATGAAATTTCCCAAAAATTCTTACTAGAAAATCAAGCCTGATGATATGTTTAAGAATTATAGAAATGGTGCAAGCCAATATCCCGACTAACATCCGTCATATGTACAGCATTTTATAGCTAACATTTAGATTACTCTTACGTAAAAATTGTATTAATTTAGAGTGGAAAAATGTCTAACTCATTTAAACCAGAACAGAATATATTTCATTTAAACATCATTGGTAATGTCATCAAGTACATATAAGATATTCAGTTTCACTGTCATGAATTTCTGTAAAATTTGAAACCATAAAAGTACGAGACTTACAACTGAAATGTAAAAATGACAAGATGCACGATCAGATGTAAGCGTATGCATTATGATTTTTTAAGGGTTACGTTGAATCTTTTCACCATGAGAAGTCGTGAAAAGTTGAAATTCACAAAATATCATAATCCATCTCCATATATTTCAGCGTTTTTTTTTTATAAATATGATACTATTCAAAACCATATAATTAATAAATTGGGGTGTTTTAATTGTTTTACCTGATTTACAGCTACGACATGGGATGTGTCAGTAATGCTAACTAACCTTAAGTGACAAACATTGTTATAATTTGTTATAATAAGTGAGGGATTCGTATCAATGAAATTGTTATTATTTTATATAAAAAAGACAACGTACCAGTCTAGACACTCTTATAATAATTTTACAAGTTTTAAAATATGCTTGCGATGCACAGTAACAGGTCAGTCCGTACTATAATATAATACCATATAATACAAAATATATAACGTTAACCAAAATGTATTGCACATTTAATATACAACCATGCACCAAACTGGACCATCTTAGTTACTTAAATTTACATTATTTCTGAAAATAAAAATGTACAAATGACCCCTTTCTACTTTGAGGGCAAAAGATAGAATTACAATATATGAATAACTTATTTCCTCTCTATGTGTGAATATAACACAGGGAAGAATGTTTTCATATTCAAAATTTTCATGTGTATCTGTCATAAAATTCCTATGGATTTTTAATACTTGTCATCAGAACAAATGCAATTTTAAAAGAAAAAACATATGTTTTAGGAATTAAAATAACTGTGGCGTATACGCATAGGAAATAGTTTTCAATCAGTCATGCAACTAATGTATTTATAGTCATTCAACTGTTGCCGTATTACACAATGGCTAAATTGCCCAGTATGAATGTATATATTACGAACTCCTATTTTTTGTTTTCCCTTCTTAACTATGATTACCAACTTTCCTACCTGCCGTGTTATACATTTGCTTCCCCGAAGTCGCCAAGGGGACGTAATTTACATAATACACATAATTGCTGAACATGTAATAATTTAAAAGCTCCTATCTCACTTTCCCATCTTTTACGTCACAACTTCCACATCCATGTTGTGTTGCTTCTGGACTAGTTTTATGTAATATTCAGTTTAAAATGTGTACGGTAGCACATATGTCATTAACACAAAGCACGGGTAAAATGTATAAAGTACTTGAGAAGCATACATTTTAACAAAAACACAATACAATAAAGGTATAATGTGTAGGGTAGCATATTACGCAAAGTACAGGAGGCATACTGCGCTATGTAGTGTATGTCATTACAAAACTCAATGATAGTACTTCGTTAAGTAGCTTAGATCCTAAATATGAATCATGGGCATAATATGTAAAATAGCATATATTCTTAGAAAAAATCACGGGTATAATGTTTCGAAGGGAAACCTGTGTTCTTACCTGTAACACCTCATTCTCGTCCACTGATACATAGATCCAAGTGAAAAGCTTTTTATAGCCAATCATTTTGACTGTGTATTTGAGAGAATTTAGTCCATCCTTGTGTGATGTTACGTTATTACGTGAATATAAAATGTCAAATCTGAAAATAAAAAATTCATTCGACGTTAAGGTAATAGGATTGTGTCACCATTTCTCAGTAGAATTTCTTCAAATTTTGTAGTTATATTGCTTTAAAGTAAAGAAAATTTTCTGCCACATAAAAAATATAGGTTGTCAGAATTTTAAGGATTTTAAATGGAAATTTATGTAAAAAGGAGTGAATTTTGAAAAAAAAATGAAAGACACAATATTTTTACAAAATAATGTCAATAAAAACGATACTGACATATACCAGTATTACATTAATGTATATCAATTTAATAAATGCTGAAATTGTGTAAAATTAATTCTCTATACACGATATAAAAATTGACATTTTATAATAAAACCATATACACATAGTAATTGCAGGTAAGAGTTATCGTTCTTGAAAAACTTCACAGTAGTGAAATAGGTAGCCGGTTTCCTGAAGTACAGAAAAATGGACACATGTGACTCATTGATAAAAAAAACCCTGAATTAATGCCTGGATTGCTTTGAACTTCTTTAATATGGAGAGAACACACTGTTCTGTCAATAATAAACATACAATATTCATCAATTTAATATTAAACATTAGAATTTGCGGAAATTGAGATGCTGTCTCCCTACATTGGTTCTTCAACTAGGGGTGTACTTCCTGTTTCCGTTTATCAATACACTCCAATGACCTTAAAGAACATCAATAGCACAGGTTCATTCTTCATTTAATATTCCTTGAAGTAAACATGTTTCAATAATTGACAATATTAGCAAACTTTTAACTGTATGATCATTACTTAATCAATTGCCCGGGTGATAGGTAAAAAAACCACACTTGAGCGGCTATTACCGATTCATTCACCTTGCCCGCTAACAGCACGCTATTACTTATTCATAGCACACTATATGTTTCTACCATCGGCCCTCGGGCTAATATGGATACGTTAGATTGATACAGGGTGTGATATTGGAAAAGGTACACATTAGTCTTTCTCTATATAAATCAACGAAACATAGTCAAGTCATCTTTTCCTTTCTTTTTTTCGCTTTAGAAGTTAGTGTTTCTCTTTAAAGAAATGTTTTTCGTTACCTGTATTTTACCTCCGGATCTCGTGCGTGTTGCAGTGTGGACATAAATCCAATAGTGGAATTTTCGTCTGGCCGTTCTATTTTCATTTTTTCCCTTTGAATTCTATTCATGAAAATACAAAATTTAAACTTACTTTTAATGTTATAATCAATAGCCGACTAACAGTTTTAGTTTTAGTATGTACAAATCTACAATAGTGGTATACTTGGTGTAAATAATTTATTCATATAGAATTTGTATCCAATAAATGCTTTATTTATTCAGAATTTGTAATTTTTCTTTGGAGTGGTGTAATGTTTTAAATCGGTCAATACTTCTGCCGCGTTGCAATTGTTTGGTCGGAATATTTTCTATTGTCATGGCGAAACGAAAGAGATCAACTACCTTGCTCAAAAAAAAATGCACAGGCCAATGATTGAGGTACGTTATGTTTTTGGGACTGAGGTATTTAATATATAATAAATTCATACAATGGAAGTACAAGCACATTTAAGATAAAACAATGCACTGGATTGAGATATTTTATACATCATTGGTGTACTTAACAACCAACAATGTGAACTATGTGATGTACTTTAGGAATGTATGCATGTACTCAACAGTGTGCAGTAACTGAAGATGAACATAAAATCAATGATAACAAAATTCTGTATACATTCGAGCTTACCTGTAATAAATATCATCGTCCTCAGCGCCCCAGTCAAAATAAAAGTTAGAATAACCATTAACCCTCCTGAACTGCTCTGGTGTAAATGCTATGATGCCGCCAACTAGTATGGAATACTTTAATCTGCAACATGTGTATCGGTTGTTAGTTGTATAGAATTTAACTTGAACCATGTTACAGATTTAATTTGAAGCAAAACAACTGGTCCATAAATAGTTAAAAAATTAAGACCGAAATCGACCAATTTCAGATTCACATTAAAATGGTATTTAATGCATATCTTGTAAGAATTGAGACTGATTTTCAAGAGAAATGTAAATATTTTGGGTTAAGTGAACAATTCTTCAAATGACAACGGTCTTAGACTCGTAATCTAACCGAAAATTAAAAAAGGTAGTCAAAAGGCGGGTGACACATGTATTATACGATATACAGTCATGTATGATCTAAGACATGGATATTTCTATTAGATGTGTCTTGCTGATAATTACAATGCGTGTCAGTTTGACTAACAAATACAACGTTTTCTAAAAGCATTAATCATCACCATACATTTATCACATTTTAAAACGTATACAGTATTCAATGAAATCGTCAGAAAAGCCACATGAAACCAGGCGAACATGTAAACACAAACAGCATTAGTACCTATATTTAAAAACATCCACTCCTGTCACCAGGTGGCGTATACTGTTTTCTCTGCCACAGCGGAATATATTTCTGTCATCCTCAAAGATAGAGTCGACATCATTGAATATAAAGCAATCATAATCTTCAATTTTAATTGCTTCTGCAAATCCCACATTCCTCATCATCCCTCGGTTGAAATGAGATCCAGGAGCCTGTTTATGAGGGAAGTAGCATTTTGAAATATTTAACAAGTTTAACACTTTATTATATGCAATATCTTTTGTTTTGAAAATGACAAAAAAGAAAAATGAATGAAATTTGTCTATTAAAGAGGGATAATTACCTAATGAAAAACATGGACAAAATTAACATAATTAAATCAAGTATAAAAAGAAGTAAAAAACATTAACTTTACTGAAAAGAAGCAACAAAAAACTACGAAGTAAGAAAGCACACATTTAAAATTAAGTTTGTGGATGCAGAATGCCGAACAAAGTAAACATTTACTGCATCATATTGCTATTTCGTCTATTCAGAACATCGGTCGTGGTAGCTGTTTAAAGAATAAGAAACCATTTCTAAAAGATTCCGAAATATTGAAACAAATGTAGTAAAAGAAGAAATGTGCTTTAAAACATTTTGTAACATTGCATCTTTTGGCAAAAAAATAAAAAATAGTCTTAACTAGATTTTTAAGTAAACTTTGACAGAATAAAGTCCAGATACAAGGTTACAGCAAATCTCGGGGACTGATAGTGCAACAGATACAAGGTTACAGCAAACCTCGGGGACTGATAGTCCACCAAATACAAGGTTCCAGCAAACCTCGGGGACTGATAGTCCACCAGATACAAGGTTACAGCAAACCTCGGGGACTGATAGTCCACCAGATACCAGGTTACAGCAAATATCGGGGACTGATAGTGCAATAGATACAAGGTTACAGCAAACATCGGGGACTGATAGTCAACCAAATACAAGGTTACAGCAAACCTCGGGGACTGATAGTCCACCAGATACAAGGTTACAGCAAACCTCGGGGACTGATAGTCCACCAGATACAAGGTGACCAGATACAAGGTTACAGCCAAGCTCGGGGACTGATAGTTCACGAGATACAAGGTAACAGCCATCATCGGGACTGATAGTCCCCCAGATACAAGGTTACAGGCAAGCATGGGAACTGATAGTCCACCAGATACAAGGTTACAGCCAAGCTCGGGGACTCATATCTACCAGATACAAGGTTACAGCCAAGCTCGGGGACTGATAGTCCACCAGATACAAGGTTACAAGATACTTGGTTATAGCCAAGCTCGAGGACTGATCTTCCACCAGAAACGAAGTTTCAGCAAAGTTCGGGGAATGATAGTCCACCAGATACAATGTTAAAGCCAAGCTCGGGGACTGATAGTCCATTAAATACAATGTAACCATAAATATGACTAATCTTACTCCATCTAAATACACAAATTACTTACCTCTTTATAAAATAATGGCAATTACAACTTTGATGTTTTATTAACAATTAGAAGACTAGCAATTGATGTAAATTCAACTAAATACCTGTTCGACAACGTAGATTGTGAAATCCGCTTTTTGTCTCCTCAGCTTCGGTATGACATTTCTAAGATACATTTTTAGATGGCTATCTCGGTCTCTAAATGGTACAATGACGGCGATCTTATATTTTGATCGGCACCCACTGGGCTTAAATCGTCCACCCACGTGACTGTCGGGAAACATTGATTCCAACGAAATTAATGATTGTGACGTCATTGTGATATTTTCTCGTCCTTCTGAAAAAATGAAAAGATTTTCTTTTAACTATGCTCGTTTACATGATAATGACACGGATAAATTGAAGTCATAAAGAAAATGATATTTTAATTTGATTTTGTTCGTTGAAAATATAAAATCAATTTTGAAATGAATTAATTTAAGTAATATATGACTATTTTCGCTTAAAACTTGAAAATAGAAATGAAATGGGTATCTTTCTGAAAAGAACAGAACGGCAGAATGAAAACGAATACGACTTATACTAATTTGAACTTGATGGACTATCTCAACTCCTATTTAACGTGTCAGCATGCTGTATTTGACATCCATAAAACAAATCGTTTTTTTAATCACATGTATGATCCCATATTTTAATTTCGTAGTAGTAATAATAAATAATATACTGCATTTATAAAGCGCCCTATATAATTTGCATATAAAATGCAGACGTGAAAAGGTGAGTTTTTATGTCCCTCTTGAACTTGGCCAGGGTATTCGACTTCCTAATAGCAGATGGTAAGCTATTCCACAACGTAGCCGAAACCCTCCCAAAGCATCTGTTTCCGTAGGTCACAGTACGAGATTTTGGGACACACAACAAAGATTCTGACTCCGACCGCAGTGATCTTGACGGCTGATACAGGGTAACAAGTTCCTGTAGGTACTGAGGAGCTGTTCCATTCAGTGCCTTGTATGTGTATACCAGAATTTTGTACTGCGACCTGTATCGTACAGGTAACCAGTGCAACGAATAAAGCGCAGGTGTGATGTGCTCTCTCTTTCGAGTACGAGTAACTAGCCGTGCTGCAGTGTTCTGAACCCTCTGCAGACGACTAGTTAGTTTGTCAGATATACCACAGAGCAGGGCGTTACCATAATCCAACCGAGAGGTAACAAGTGAATGCACCAAAATCTTGCATGCATCTGCAGTTAGAAACTGCCGAATACAGCCGATGTTCCTGATCTGGTAGTAACAGGATTTGGCAATCGCGTTCACTTGTTTCTCCATGTTCAAAGAACAGTCAAAGTATACCCCTAGGTTTTTAACAGCTGGAACAGTCTCAATAGTTCTGGCACCACCCTTGAGCTGGAGAGCCATTGTTTGCTGACACTTTGGGGAAAAGACGATTAGTTCCGTCTTTTCCTGATTAAGTTTAAGCATGTTGGCGTTCATCTAGATACTGATATCTGTCAGACAAGCTTCCAGATATGCCGAGACTGTATTCCAACTGTCCTGTGGTTTTATGACCATGTAAATTTGTGTGTCATCAGCATAGCAATGATAGCGAAGGCTATGGCGACGACAAATCTCTCCAATCGGTTTGGAGTACATACAATATTTTCGTGGTCCTAACACCGACCCTTGAGGAACCCCGAAATCTAGTACTTTGTCATGTGAGGTGGCAGATCCGATGGCAACACACTGTCGTCGTTCACTCAGGTATGACTGTATCCAGCATAGTGCGGTATCAGTCACTCCATAAGAGTATTCCAGACGTTTATAAAGTATGCCATGGTCGATGACGTCAAATGCAGCTGACAAGTCCAGCATGACAAGCACCGCTCTGCACTTGTTATCCAATGCAGAAGCTATATCACTATGTACACGTAGGAGGGCCGTCTCAGTAGAGTGTCCCATGCGGTAGGCCGATTGCATGTTGTCATGGAGACTGTTTGCATGGAGATGAACCTCTAAAAGCCGGGACACAACCTTCTCCAAGATCTTAGACAGAAAAGGCAGATTTGAAACTGGGCGGTAGTTTTTCAACTCCTCCTTGTCCATTCCAGGCTTTTTTAACAATGGTCTGACATGTGCCTTCTTGAAACATAATGGAACCTTTGACTCATAGTGTAAGTAATATATAAGAGCTTGAACAGCAACTAAAAATGAACGGAGATGGTACGATTAAACTTCCTTCCAAGGCGGAGAAGTTCAACCATGACTCCGAAGATTAATGGGATTTTGACATTTTTGTTAATATATTTGTCAGAGCATTAGAACACAAGCCATATGCTGACTCACTAAATAGCTATTTGCACCACAACACAAAATCAACACACGATAAACTGTTTCAAGTAGCGTCTAGATACCCAGGGCTCTTAATAAATGCTGATAAAGGAGGAGTGTCGCTATACTGCTTCAGTGAGAACTAGTAAGCTTGATTCCTTTTTCTTTCTGTTTTTGTTACAGAGAAAAAACAACAACATATTAATGTGCGGTCAATAAAAGTATATAATACAGATAAATATACAGAACAAATAACTATTTAGTGATGTACAGTCCTTATTTACGTATGGTTTATATGCATTTAGGGTCCATAATGATATATTGTACATACTGACATGTTGGTTCTATTTCCATGTGTTCACGAGAAAGCCAACTTAATAGGAATTGGGAAGGGGAGGAATTGCAATTAACTTTAATGACAAACACCTATATTTTAGTGTATTGTGACAGGAAAGAAGACATATAGCCAGTGGGGGAGGAGTATATCAGCTTTTGTTCGTGGGACGGGGAGAGGAGGTGAGCAGTCGAGGTTGTCACTTTACATGTGTGAGCGTGTGACCTGCTTATATGTCACAGGTTGCGTTACCGAATATGAATGTATGTGACAGAACTTGTCTAATGATTAATGTGATGGACCTTGTAGTCTGCATTATGTGATGGGATTGTCATCTGATATATAGAACGGACCTTGGGGGAGGGAAGGGGAGGGAGGGGGGAGGTGGAGGTGGAGGGGCGGCGATGTTAAATAAAGATTATTTATTTTTTTATTTTTTATTGATTTCTATTAATCTCATTCTATGCCAAAGTTCAACAAGAAACAAACAGTCTCATGGGAATTTTTTCCCTGTAGTTCTGATCTACGGAAGCCGATACGTGTCATCTTTTAGCTATCTTGTTATAACGAGATAAGAAAAAAAAATCAAGATGACACGTAAAGGCTTCCGTACTGATCTGTCTTATTTTTGGAAAAAATGTACGCTCCAGCTCATTAGGTTAATAACCATTAGGAAAATGTATTATTCAGTTTTCTTTTTGGAATTAGTATGGTCATTCGCTATAAAGTGTTTTATGAATTGATAACACGTCATTCCAACTTTTGCGTTCTATATTTAATATTCTCTATCAACCAAGCATCTACTGACATAAAAACTCACTTACCGTTGTCATTGTAAACACCCCGAGATATAAAGGCGGAAAGGAATGGTTCATTAGCAAAAATGACGTGTTTTTTTTAAAGATACAGTTTTATTGGTTGAATAGAACACGGATCCATTTTTTTTTTATCACACATGTGTTTTTGGATTGGTGTAGATATGAAGTAATTAAAGTTGAAAAAAAACAAGCATATTAAATGTCAATCATTCTAATAAAGTATTAAGCTCCGTTGTGTGACGTGTCGGTAATAAGAATATCAATAATAACTAAATGTCAACTTCTAAGCCTTCGTTAATGCTTCTTCAGGTTTACACATCCTCAATATTCCAGCGAGTACGCTCACTCATGCTCTCTGCACCGCTGGATGGGTCTCAGGTAGAAAAAAACCTCTGACCAATCACTATGACATGTTCCAGGGGTGCCGACAGCATAAGTGAGCGTAACCCCTGGAGTATTGAGGATGCATTGTCGGAAGCAATTCATCGGCCTGTTCGAACAAAAATCTGAATAAAAACGAGTTAGAGAGACAGAGTTCATACAGCAAAATGGTGCAATGTAATCCATGTTTGGTATACTGATCAGTAAACAAATTTGGCATATGGTGAGATGCAATCGTATGCGGGTTTGTTGTTCAATTTTCAAGATAACAAGGTGGTTGACCCTACTGGTGGATATGTTTGTCGTTATCGCCACGCTGATCTCCTGTGAGTCATGGCAGGGTTCTTAATAAACAAACTTAACTGTAATGTGATATTAGCCAGTACTTATTTTTAAATTGATATAATCAGACGTGCTACACGATGACGTGGCAGAAGAACTGGGCGGATTGCAGGACGTCGCGGACGGATAGCTCGTTCACGCAATCGGTTCCGTACAGTTCTCGGGCTTATTGGTAGCAACCCAGGGATTGTCCGTGCAGTCAAACTTGCCGTTTGGAGCCTATACCATATATGTATGACATTTTATAACCTTGTGAAATTTCAGTTTGAACTTCTGGTTCCTGGGATAATCTCCAAGTGGTAACAGACAAACATACATACATACGGACAGCGGGTAGTTAGACAGATGGACATCATGATTACTAATTACATACGCAGATCCCAAATTAAGTCTGACCAACTTTGTGAAGATAAACATAAGTTGACCTTATGATTAATCTTTGACCTTTGACCAGATTACCTTGACCTTTGGTAAGTTGGTTATGACCAACTTTGCTTCATTATGTCATCATAAAATGTTTACCAAAATCTGGCCATTTGAGGGTCGTACAATGTGTTTTCGACAGTATAGCCCCACTGTTCAGTTTTAAGTAACAGCGACCTTGACTTTGACCTAATAAAATTGTGAAAATCCTGGTCTTTTGCAGATCTATATATATCACACTGTATCACTATGTTAATTTTTAGAAGTTTCGGCCTTTTGGAGTCCCGAGATAATCTCAGGAAACAAAATTGCTGACGGACAGACAAACAGACAGACACTGTGATTACTATAGGGCACTAATGAAAGAAGGTTTGTAGAATTTCATATTGCCAATTGCTTGTCAAAAGTCTTATTTTCCTCCTATAACCATGTAAACAATGCAGTCATCTGCAAATAGTCTGACCTTAGATGTGACGTTGTTAGGAAGGTCATTTATGAATAGAAGAAAAGGAGGTTACTCCACTGACGACTGGGGCTTATTCTGATGTTGTTCCTTCTACCACAAACCTTTGAGTCCGTCCTTCCAAAAGGTTCCTTATCCATGAATGAGCTGGTCCCCCTATGACATAGAAGTCAAGCTATCTCAACAAGCGTTGGTGTGGCACACGGTCAAACGCTTTGGAGAAGTCCATGATAACAAGATCTGCAGGC